AGCAGAACTCCTGCCATGATCCATCTCCCTGAGAGGTGGCAGCAAACTATGCCAACAGGAGAAGCTCTCCTGTCAGCACAGGAGCATCTTTACTGAAGTGCTACAGTGGAAAGTTGCAACTATGCCATGTTAGCACTGAATGTGAAGAAAACCCCTCAGTCATTGGCTGCACAAACTAGACCAGGACTACTCAACTTTGGAAGCCCCAGGGGCCACAATGATACACACAGCACATGCCGAGGGCCGCAACTTAAGTGTGGTTGCATATAAATGCAATATATATGCAAGTAACTTTTCACACTGATGGGCATGAATACAAAGCACTTCCCATAATGCCCTGGCACTCCCGGCACTTCCTCCGTCTGTACACCCAGCCAGCCCATCCGCTTGCGTCTTTCAATGCTCATCCCGCCTGGGAGATGTCTTGCCATTGTGGAGCATGCTCCCAGTGGAGGCCATGTTCAAAGGATCCCACCTGTGTTGAGCCCCACGTAAGCCCAAACGGCAACGCAGTTCACAAACAAACAGGCCATGGGCTGCATGTGGCTCCACGTGTTGAGTAGCCCTGAACTAGATGCTAGCTAAAAAAAAATAAAAAACGAGTGGTCCTGTGGCACCTTAAAGACTAACAAAAAACTGTATATAGTATCATGAGCTTCAGCTGAGTGGAGAAGTGGGTTGTGCCCATAAAGTTCATGATATTATATAAAAAATTTTTGTTAGTCTCTAAGGTGCTACAGGACCATTCATTGTTTTGTAAGTGTTTTTTAAGTTATAGAATAACATGGCTACCCTTTGAGACTTTTAGACTCTCGCTAGTGACCTAAAAGTGTCAGACATTGTATTTCAGCCATCCATTCCCAGGTGACCTTCTAGAAAAGTCCCAAACAATTTAATAGGGATGAAATCATTAGTTTTCACTGAAATTTTCTTCTGAAGTGATTCTAAAATCCTACAATTTTACAAATGATACTAATTCTAGAGGTTTCGTTTGTTTTAAATTATCCTACGAAGTTCTGTTGTAAGGATATGTAACTAACTATTAAATTCTATGAAATGGCTTCCGAGTGTTAAGAAAGGTCCTTATTATCTATTAAATACTATAGTACTTGTTGATAAGTTTTTTTAATATTAATTATTAGTAGGATGACTAGCAGCACGATGCAATAGCAAGAAAGAAACCTGTTTACAATTTAGCCTTTAGTTCTCAAATTTGCAGAGGAAATGCCTTTAATTAGTAAAAGCCTGGTTGATATTTATGAACAGCTGGATGCAGTTCAAGTAGTTGGTTTTAATTCAAGACAAGAGCAGGCTCAGAGAAAAACTCAAGACATGGAGATGAGGAAGGATAGCGTAGAAAACACACAACTTGATTAATGCCAGGTGAAAGGTTCATAGTATGGACAGAGAAACACCTTATTATTAGTACTAATTATTTCTACTACAGTAGCACACAGAGGCCCTAATCATGACCTGCTCAAGGTTCTGTATTACAAAACAGAGTACCACTAACATCGAAAGACAAGATCCCTGCCTTGAACAGCTTACAGTCCAATTTAAAATGAGACTAGAAGTAAGCCTAAGAAACCAGGAGGACCTGAGGGATGGAAGTGAAAGTGATAAGGACAATTATGCAGACTAATACTGTGACCATCTTGAAGGCTGATGTTTCATAAATAGTTTATACCCTTAGATATGAAGATGTGGACTACTAAGAACAGGAATCTGACAGAAATTACTTAAGTGAATTGACACATGGGAGGACATTCAATTTTCTAACTGCAACTTGGCTTGCTCTTTTCCTCTCCTTCTTACTCTCAAGCCAGCAAAATTAATGGAGGTTGTATTAGCTCATATATTATCCATTACCACTGTAACTATTATCAGTGATTAATCCTCCTCACCTTAGAAAGCTATGCACATCATTTAATTGAAGTGTATGTACCTCAGTGTTAAAGTAGAATGAAAATTGACAAGATATTTCTCAACTGTACCTCAGTAATGAGATACATTGTACATTGTAGACTCATTTATCCCCATTCCACACACACTGGTGCAATCTTTCTGTTAAGTAAAATATTAAAAACAGTAGGAAAGGCAGATCAGGAAAATGAGTTATAAACAAATTTGAGCTTTGCTAAAATCAGTAATCACACACTACATTCAAATAATCTGTAAAGCAGGTCAATAATATTCCATCATCTTGAATACGCTCCAAGGCTACGTCTACACTCCAGGCTTCTAGCACAAGACTGTTTTGCGCAAGAGTTCTTGCACAAAAGGTCTTGTGCAAGAGCACGTCCACACTGCCATGTACTTTTGCACAAGAGATGTGCTTTTGTGCAAGAGTGTCCATGGCAGTGTGGATGCTCTTTTGCACAAGAAAGCTCTGATGGCCATTTTAGCCATAGGGGTTTCTTGCGTAAGAAACCCGTTGCCTGTCCACACTGCCTTCTTGCATAAGATTTCTTGCGTAAGAGGGCCTATTCCTTGTGGGGAGAGCAATTACTCTTGCGCAAGAAGCCCTCTGTTCCGACGCTTTACTATGAATTTACTTACGCAAGAACGCGCGTGCAGTGTAGACACTTTGCAAGTTTTTGTGCAAAAACAGGTGTTCTTGCGCAAAAAACCTGCAGTGTAAATGTAGCCCAAGAGTTATCAGAGCAACACAGCACGTAGAATCAGAGGGCTGGAAGAGAACTCAGGAGGACAAGTCCAGCCCCCTGCCCAAAGCAGGACCAATCCCAACTACATCATCCCAGCCAGGGCTTTGTCAAGCCGAGACTAAAAAACCTCTAGGTATGGAGATTCCATCACCTTCCTAGGTAACCCATTCCAGTACTTCACCACCCTCCTAGTGAAATAGTTTTTCCTAATATCCAACCTAGACCTCCCACACCGCAACCTGAGACCATTGCTCCTCATTATGTCATTTGTCACCACTGAAATAGCCTCTCTCCATGCTCTTTGGAACCCCTCTTCAGGTAGTTGAAGGCCGTTATCAAATCTCTCACTCTTCTCTTGTTTTGTGTACAGAAGCCCAAATCCCTCAGCCTCTCTTATGTAAGCCAAAATCATCTACTTCATATGTAAAGTCTTGTGACATCCAGATCTGCAACATATAACCATCTGCCAATGCCAGCTCTGCCTCATGTTAGTAGAATCGAGACAGTAGATTCTATTAGACTCTAAAATTCTATTAGACTCTAGTATATCAATAGAGCATGGAAACCCCCCCAAAAGAGTAGACAGTATGGGAGGTGAAGGGTGCCCTTCAGTTCCTTTCAAACCCCACTTCAGATCCCTGTTCTGTCTTTTTATCCTGCTGACAGATGCCCAAGGGATTCAGAGAGCAAACAATAAAAAAAAAAAGTCCTTTCCTCTCTTTCTTCCCTTATTGGAGAGAGGAGTCCATGGAAAATTGAAAAGCAGTATGGGTGACTCAGAACTTAGGCAGTCCTGGGTCAGTCCTTAGAGCTTAATTTACATGGGGTCCATCTCCAACCCTACCTCATGGGATGTGCTGCTCTAAGACTAGATCGTGCAGCTTACTGCGGTCTCCCTCTCTGCAGACCTGTCTCAGCCACCTGAGACAGGGTAACCCTTCCACCTGGTTTTTGTTCTGTCTCTTCCCACCCCCTCACATGCACACACACCTGTTTGTTTTCATGTGGCAGGTTTTCCCTTTTGAACCTCCCTGCTCCAGATAGAACCAGCCTTGCAAGCATGCCTTGCTGGTGTTGAACAGGCCCAGAGGAATTTGTTAGTCCCCTCTTGGTCAGTGTGAGGGAACTCCCTTCACAGAGACCTGCTGCTGTTGCTTTATTTAAAAAAAAATGATTCTCCTTTAGTATTTTCCTTTTAAGCATAACTAAAAATAATGTTTTATCAAGATACTTTGAGAAGTACTACTCGGCTTCTAGCTAAATCTCTGTCTCTTGTGGAAAAAAAGGCTGTTGGATGAATGTCCAGCTTCTGAAACGGTACAGGAAGATCATAACCCCACCTGGTTGAAGGAAATCTGGTAGCAAGGTCTCCGGCAGCATATCTGGCAGCAGATAACCATTCTTCCTAGCAACAATGAGGTGAAATGCGGCACAGAATTCCGGCAGCGTCAGTGCTCCATCACAGTCTACATCGCTTAGCTCCCTGTGAACATGGTATTCACACATTTCCTGAGGCAGTGCAGGAATGAAACATATACCCACAAACATACACACAGCATATGGGAATGTCACTTTGGGTAATGAATAGTCATACTTAATTTTAATAGGCATTTTTTAAAAAATCCCATATTTTATCATTTATCCTTTATGTAAATGTAATAATTCTCAGGTAAATGGGATTTTTTGCATACTGTTTATTTTGAGAAAGTGGAACAACTTGCCATTCCAATACTGAGGAAAATGTTATATGGAAAAAAGTGCTCCCTTTGTAGACCATATATAATATTTTATATCTAGTACTGAAAAACTAAAATTTGTCAAGAATTTGGTGTACACAAATTCAATTTCTCTTTACAAAATGGTGTGAACAATTGTTTGGTTGGTCTATTCTAGTGCTTGAGCCCTTTTCAGTATCCTCTTAAGCAGACCCATCCATATGAATAGTTTTCAGAAAGCACTCAATTACCAAGTGTGTACTGGTGTATATTGGCCATAAGACCCGCACAGCTGGATTAACTAATGCTGGTGGCAGTTTGGAATGTTAGCATTGTATTGCCGTTAGCACTGTTGTCCATTTAATTTTAATGTTAGCATGAAACAATGGCAGAGGATTTCAGAAGCACACAAACACAGTTTCATAAACTACACCCTATGGAAATAAATTAGAATTAATTTAGTATTAATATAATGGCTAAAATTGAGTGATAGTTAATTCATTATTGTTTGAAAGTAAAGGGATAATGTTTCAAGCAATCAAGATTACAGTGAGTAGGATTGTTTTCAGCATAGCAGCGTGGCCTGATGCATTATATCATGCAACATTTCAAATTGCTCCTAGAAAGGAACATTATCTTTAATACTGGTAACAAATAACATGTTTTTGGTTATCATGGTGGATTAGCCAGTTTTTTCTTAAATAACCTTTAAATTAAATTCCAGTGCTCATTCCCCCCTAGAGAATGCTGCTTTAACCTTCCTCCCCTTCTGCCCCTCCATAATTCACAATTAGATTTGAAACTATTCCAGGCAAATTCTCTGAACCCAGCAGATGTTTGGGCTTTTGCAAGCTTTTATTAAAATCTATCTTCATAAAAGTAGATAGAAATAGTGACATAAAAGTTCTCATTATCAGCATTTTTGGTGAATGTTTAGAACAGTTTGTTCCTCATACCAATATAGGACGATCATATTGAACCACCAGCACCAGCATGGTTATGGAAATATAAGACCCTTATACATTTTATTGTATACAGTGCTATCTGCAATGTTCTCTAAACAAACTCATTAAAAGCAAGAGTGCTGTCTCATTAATGAAGCACTGATGAATTATGCAGATATACTTATTAAAATTGGGTATTAATTAGGCCTCATCTGACAAATCATAGCCAAAAACATAAAGCTAACTAAATGCATCTAAAATATTCCAAATATATTTTTCTTCTAAACCATTTCATGAAATATGTCTGTTCATTGAGTTAATGATGCTTCTTATAATAGTCTTAAGACCGGCTGTCATTTCTATTGCTATTCAAATATCTCTAAGTCCCGCTGAGTAGAAGAGAAGCTCTAAAAAGATAACAAGCATGCCAGGAAGATCAACATGCACCCTGCTGCTTGGACCTGAAAGTGATTTTGATAAGTGCAATAATTATAATTACTCTGAAGACACCTTTTTAATATAGCAAGAATTCTTCAACTAAAATATTTTAAAAACAGAATCCATATTCTGGGTTACACTACGGTACTTACCATATGTGAGAAAGCTCTGGGATGGGAAGCTTGGATTTTGTGAAGAAATTCTTAGCAACGGAACCTGTCAAGAACCACAACATCTCAAACAATGAAACAGGAATTTGAAATTCATCTTCAAATCTGATTTTGCTTATGTTTTGTGTAACAGCAGCTAGTTATTTCACATTTAACAGATACTCTGATTGTTGGGTACTACAGGTTGAACCTCTCTAGTCCGGCATCCTTGGGACCTGACCAGTGCCAAACTACAGAATTGATGAACCATGATAGGTAGCAAGTGGGTGTCTCTTTGGCTTTATTTCAACAAGGCAAATAAACAGAACAACATACCAATGCACCCATTTCCATCTTCTGCAACAGTTCCAACTTTTTCTGTATCGATACTGTAATGACGAGCTTATGCCTAGCCGCATTACCAACACTTCCTCTGGTTGCTGGTCTCTTAGAAAACACACTTAGGGCTAAATAATAGTACAGAACATGAGAGCCAGAACTGGTGGCTATAAACAAACATTGCCAGACCATGGGAAATTCAGCCCCACCCATGATAAGCAGACATTCTGCTAATTAAAAACATGCTGGACCATTGACATTGCTGGATCAGTGAGTATCAGACTAGAGAGACTCACCCTATAATACTCTTGTTTGGCCATTTGTCTCATGGTGAGTAACTGACAGGCCAGATAGAGTGGCTGACCTCATTTTTCCTCTCCATGTGGAAAACATATTAATGGATGAAAACATGCCTCAGTATTATTACTGTTATCCTCAGCAGCATGCCCTTATGAATATAGCAAAAGGAAAACAGAAATAAATGTCTTCCTTTCCAGAAATATTTCTGAGACATGAGCCAAGTATGTGGCAGCAAAAGGCTCTGCACCGTCTATGCTACACCTTCAGTGGCTTTCTTTGCTTGCAGGCCTGCTGCAGCCCCACCATCATGAAAGAAAAACTAAAGGAACCAACTAATAAGCCTGCTACAGGCTCCACTATCAGTTGGGAACATGCTCCTTAGCCCTCCCACAGCAAGCAATCTGATTCCCCTCCCCACCAAAAAACCCCTGCTGAGCCCTCTGCAGTAATAAACATCTCACCACACATCCAGCTACCAATCACTGAATCATGCAAATAGGCTAGGAGTGGGAGTGGCAAACTTTGTCTTAGATCCTTGCACATTGTATTTCACATAGACCTGCAAAACATAAGGCCAACCCTGTTCAGAGGCAGGGGCGGATATAGGGCAGGGCGAGCGGGGCGGCCGCCCCGGGCCCCTCGCTTCAAAAAGCCCCGCGCATGCACCATGGCGCCACCGCGCATGTACCATGGCGCCACTGCGCATGCGCGTGGTGTCACCGCGCATGCGCCGTGGCAAAGGGGGGCCCCGCGAAATTATGCTGCCCTGGGTCCCGCAAAACGGTCATCTGCCCCTGTTCAGAGGTATTATATACAGATCGATACTCTGACTCCCATTACAGTTATCTTAATAGTAGCTCTGGGCGTGCTGGAATGTCAAGTGTGACCCAATGAGACTCTCAAAACAGAGCAAACATCATGCATACTCCAAATTGTGCATTCTGCTATAAACAAAGTTTATTATATGCAGCTTTCTGGGAAATCCACCATGTGCTGAACTTCGATTTTCTTTTCCCTCCTACTTGGAAGGTCAGTTGAAGAAGATTTAACCAAGGGAAGGGGACAGATTAAGGGATCATTTTTTAATTGACTGAGCAATTAAAAAAAAATTTTGTTTGCAGTTAGAATTTCTGAATCCTAACATACTGGATTGCAATAATATAGTCTCACAGGACACAATCAAATGCCTTAATTAAAATCTGGTTTTTCCTTGCCAGACTTTCAAGTACCTAGAATCATTCCTCTCACAAAGCAGTCTGGTCAGAGTGAAAATCTAATTTTGAAGATCAGTTACATTACTGCTACCATGTGTGTGCTATGCAGAGTTTACACTGAAATGCCTAAAGGCCAACAACTTTCCCTTACAGAGTGCTGAGCACCCTAATATGATCCTGTAGAACAGGGGTTGGGAACCACAGGCCTGAGGCCCAGCTGCAACCCCCGGCTTGCCTGGATCCAGCCCCCAAGGCTCATGGTCCCAGCCCCGCTCCCCCAGCACTGGGGAGCCTGCACTGGTGCTCCAGCCTCCCCCGGCCCTACAACAGGGCTAGAGCACCCAACTCTACTAAGCTGGCCTCACCTAGGCTATAGTGTGCAAGGGGAATATGGGGAATGACTTTCTCCTTCTCAGTCAGGGGCCACGTCATGAGGGAGTGGCTTTTCCCCCCTTCTCACTTGTGTATGGCCCCCAACTGATTTTTCTTCTCACTTTTGTGTAGCCCCTGACCCAAAAAGGTTCTCTGCTCTTGCTGTAGAACAGGAGTGGCCAACCCCCGGCTCTCGAGCCACATGCGGCTCTTTGATTAAAGAAATGCGGCTCCTGCTGGTTCTGAGCCGCACGCCCGGATTCCTCACAGCCGGCTGTTCTGCGCATGCGCCCCAGAGCTTGCTCACAGCCAGCTGCTCTGCATATGCGCCACCACACCTGCTCACGGCCAGCCGCTCTGAACATGTGCCCCAGCTCCAGAAGAGAGAAGCATGTGGCGGCAGCTCCGGGTCCCAGGCATTAGGTTAGAGTGTGGGGAGAGGTGCCTGGCTCTGGGGGAGATGAGGAGGATTGGGTTAGAGCAAGGGACCGAGGGTGCCTGGCTCTGGGGGAGGAGTGGCTGAGGGTACCTGGCTCTGGGTTAGAGCAAGGGGACTGAAGCAACTTAAACTCAAAGTCTTCATGGATGCAGAATAAGGCAGCCAACACACAGATGTCATATTTAAATTCCAGGGCAAAAAAAAAGAATCAGTATGTACCTGATTCAAAGGCTATTGTTTGCCAGGCTGAAGCAATTATTCCGAGATATAGGTCTCTCTCTTATTGTTTTTGAACCTCTCATATTTGCAGTCAGGGACAGACTTAAATTTTAAGAACTATAAAAAAGCCATAATCTTCATAAGTTTAAAAAAAAAAAAAAGGAAACCATACCAGAGATCAACAAGCTGGAGTGAAACAGGCACTTCAAATTGTGCTAATTTACTTTTCAGTTGAGTTTAATTTTAAAAAACTCACCGGACATAATAGGTTAGTAGTGTTACATTTAAAATACATGGTGGGGATGCTTTTTTTTTTTTTAAGTGTATTTTTAAAGGTTTTTTTTGTAAATTTGATGTTTGTTCCTTGTCAAGTTCTCTGAAGATCTATGGCCTGGCCGTGAATTCTTTACATGACTAGAGACTTTTTTATTGATTTTTGTCCAAAATGTCCAGTAATGTTATTTTTATCGCTACATTTTGTGCACTATATCTATCTTTCTATATATAGATATATAAATATAAATATATAATACTTGGCTCTTTTCACTCTCTCCACCACTATTTTGGCTCTTCCTCTCTAAGGGTATGTCTAGACTACATAGCTTCGTCGACAGAGCCATGTAGATTAGGTTTCCAGACATAGGGAAATGAAACAGCGATTTAAATAATCGCCACTCCATTTACATAAAAATGGCTGCCGTACTGTGCCGATCAGCTGTTGGCAGCACAGCGCAGTAGTCTAGACGCTCCGTGGTCAACAAGGGAAGCCCTTGTCGACCGCCCCATTATGCCTTGTGGAATGAGGTTTACTGGGGCAGTCGACAAGGGCTCCTTTACATAAAAAGGCCTGCCGTACTGTGCCGATCAGCTGTTGGCAGCACAGCGCAGTAGTCTAGACGCTCCGTGGTCAACAAGGGAAGCCCTTGTCGACCGCCCCATTATGCCTTGTGGAATGAGGTTTACTGGGGCAGTCGACAAGGGCTCCCCTTGTCGACCGCAGAGCGTCCAAACTACCGCACTGTGCTACCAAACAGCTGATCGGCACAGCACAGCAACCATTTCCCGGGGACTGCCTGTACTTGAACTGGTTGGCCACCCCTGCTGTAGAACAATTGAACAGATAGTTAACTTTAAGAACCTAAACAGTCCCACTGACTTTCATAAGAAAGTAGTGAAGTACATACTTGTGTTTTTATGGATCAGGACAGAGCTTGGCACTTTGCAAGGACTGACTCCCAAATGCTGTCTTCAGATTCAAACAATTTATTTTAACTTTTTGTCCTATAACTGCATATACTTTCCCGAAGTCTCCACTGAATTTTTAAAGTGTTTCTACTCTGAAAATCAGTATGCAAAACTCACACATTCTCCCTCCCAGTGAGTGCTTGGAAACATATCTACACATTTTAGGGACAAATATATATTTCTTCAATTTTTTTATTCCTCTTAGTCCTGCAGCCATCACAGCTGAGAGAAAGTTATCTAAATTCTAGTTCTTCTTGTGCATCATGAATAGGGATTTTTTTTGGCTAAATTCCAATATATAAGCCCTCTGAAGACAGTGGGGTTGCAGAGTTGTAAGTGGGGATAGCATTTGACCTGTATAATGTTTATTTCTGATGATGACATACAAGAAACTCAGATCCCAGGGTGTGTGTGCAGAGCTGGCAATTAGGAAAAAATATTTTACTTGTAAACAGAGAGCATTTGATATTAAAATACACAAGTAACTTATACCCCATTTTAGAATCATCTTTAAGAATAGAACCACTCGTTAAAGAATTTTTAAAAAGTCTTTAAAGAACCTTTGTTACCCACTATATTTAATGCTTTAATTCCACGGGTCACAGGAAGCAAATAAGTGCACCGCAGGCCTAGTGCAGAGTGGAGGCCCTAGGAAAGAGAAAGATCTGGAGAGCAAGGCATTTGAGTATGTTGTGTTGTGACCTGGTGTGATAGGGTCAGGGTTTCAGTGTTGGGTGAGGGCACCAATGAAGCTGGTTGCTCCCCCCTCGATGGGGCAAGGAGACAGCAAAGGAGACAAACACTGGCCTACATTTTGGAGGCACCCCCATGAATCTAAACCCTGGATGGGTTGCAAAACAGAGACAAAAGGCAGAGGGCGGGCTGTGTTACTAAAAAGGTTGGGAACCACTGCTTTAGCAGTTACATTGTTTAAAGAGTAAAGTAAATCAACCCTGTCTAGGGCACAACCCTGATCTAAAGATAATTAAATAAGCTTTCACTTTATTTACAGTATTTGCTTTAATTTTTAAACCTTTCCATCTGGCTGTTCTGCTGCACATACATATTATTTAGTAAATGTTACCTGAAATGAAAGAGTTCAGGTCAGGCTGTAGGGATTTGAACTGGTTGATGTAATATTCTCGCTGTTCCTCTGTTATTCTCCAGGGGTCATCTGGGTAATTACTGCTTTCCTGTGGCTCCCTTTCTACTGAAAGAGACTTCAAAAACAGGGCCAAAAAGTCACTAGGAGAAGTGCAGGGGAAAGCAGCACAGAGACATTTTAAGAAGTCAGTATCAGTCTGCACTTCCAGCAGGTCCATTTTTTAAAGAAATGAGAGCAGAAAGTCTCAAGCTGATTAATATCTGTTCTAGTTAGGTCTTGAGTGCAGGAATTTCAAGTCAAGTAATGCAGTATGGGTTCCTATGTACGTGTACAACACTGTAGAAGCATATGAAAAGCCCATTTGGCTCAGAACTACAAGACGTTTCCAACGAATGAAGCTAAAATAAAAAAACAAACCCAGCTACTGTTGAAGGTAGAAAGATCACTCCAACTAGTTATGCATGTAAATCTATCTCCCCACCAACCCATCTGAATGCCTTCCATATAAAATGGATAGCAATAGTGAGTTAGTCACGAGTGAACTCAATAGAGGAATGGCTCTGTTTTGGGGGTAAAAACTGCTTTGATTAGCTTTTTGTTTTTAACTGTATTTATTTTATGTAAAACGGATTTGTTTGAGGTTGTTTGCATACAAGGGAGTGTCATTGTTGTGAAAGTCACATTTATGGTGGAAAGAACCAAACATTTTAAATGGTTTGACCAGAATGACAAAATATTTTAGCGATGGAATGTAAGAAAGAATAAGCTACATACTCCAGCAAAGTTTAAGATCACTCCTCTGGCCTGGCTATCAACATACTCAAATTCAAATATATGATTTTGTTTTTAAAAATGTGTTAAAAGATCCCTAAAACTGGAAACATCAAAAACAGTACTTTGCACTAATTTGAAATGATGTGAGATCTATTGGTATAAACTACATGGTATTTTAGATACATTCTTCCCCAAGATTCAACTGATATTTTGCCATGTCCAAAAGAAAAAAAAAAGCAAGTTAAACATTGATTAAAAAAAGAAATTGAGGTTATATTATTTCAAGAAGAAATCTACAGTTCAATAAATATTTTAAAAACTATTTAGTACTAATGAAACCATTGTTTAGAACAGCTTAAACCTTGGTCATTCTTTCACAGAGCAAAGTTCTAAGTTTGTAAAAATTCATGGAGTAATTTTGCTCAGTAGTAGAAAGACCAGGGGAACAAAAAACATGATTTATTCTTTTTAATCCAACTTTAACAGTCATGGGGCTTTATTTTTATTTGCCCTAAGGCCCTTTTACGAAGTGCTGACACGTAAATGTTTAATTCATACCCACTTTCAGACACCTTTACACTCCACACCCATGTAACAGGGCCTTTTTGTAAATAAGAATCAGGCTCATAGTCTTTATCAAACTTACTGCCTCGTTAACTCACAATGGCTTTATCTACACTAGGCTTTATTTTTTTCCTAAAATTATTATCCACAATTGCTTCCTCCGGTGATGTGCAAATATGGACAGGCCACTTGGCACTTTAACCATCATATCATCTAGATTTGCTCTTAGTATGATTAGAAAACTCAGTGGCTAAAAATGTAAGTGGTCAATCTGGTCTATACAGATTCCCCTACTGCTGGTTCTAATGGTGAAGCTGCACCATTGGTGGCCACAGTGAGAAATCTGAATTGATTTATCTAATGTATATCTTACACAGCCAACAAGTTAAACAGGGTGAGCAAAAGCCAACTCAAAAATGCTCAGAAGAATCAGGAGTCAAAAATGACTATTTTATCAGAGTCATTATGCACTGAAGAGGAGTTTAAATAAAAAATATTTGACTAAATTTAGCCATTAATCTTGCTAACACTATTTAAGATCCAACATAGAAAGGTTTTAGATAAACAGATGATCATTATCCAGGCCAACAACAGGCCACAAAGGTATTTTATTTCTCTCCTACATGTTTAATCTGAATTCTCCAAACACACCAGGCAGGATTTCCTTATGAATGCTGCTTCCTTTTGTATTTTCTGCAGCAGCTGAACTGCAGAAAAAGAGTAATTGCCTTAAACTGAGGCAGAGCAACTGCTAAAGGAAAGAGGCAGAGGAGGAAAAGAAGCTGATAGGTCAAAGGTCAGCCCTGTCTATCTTCATTGGTGTCTTTGATTCCCCTCAATATCTCATGAGTACTACTTTAGATGAATAGCTACATTATTTTGTGTAATTTCTACATAATCCTAGAAAATATGGTGTCAGTACTGAAACAATCAAAACTATTGGCTTTATTCAAACCATCTGAAAGCATAGTCCCAATTCTTCAAGGAGGTTTAAAACAATGTAAGTAGCCGAACAAAGCCGAAAGGGACTACTACAGTCAACCTACTCTGCTCCAGTTTGGAATGCACTGTATTCATAACTTCTGTCTATAAAATATAGCTATATTTGACAAGCTTTAAACAAAAAGAAGCATTTAGAATTATCCCCTAGCTATTATGTGATGGACTTCAGGATAGTTATGTAGAATTCCTTTGGTGCAGAATTATTGAAATGCCTAAATGGAACATTAACAAACAACACAGGGGTAGCTGCGGTAGTCTGTATCTGCAAAAACAATTAATAGTCCACTTCAGATGAATCAGATCAAGTGGTTTTTGCCTACGAAAGCTTATACCCAAATAATTCTGTTAGTCTTTTAAGGTGCGACAGGACTCCTCGTGTTAACAAATAAGCTTTACACAGTGCACCATATTTGCCTGTACAAGTAAAAATACGAACACAATTTAATCAATATAGCAAGATATAAAAGATTAATAATTCTCATGAGAGCTGCAGTCCATGGAGTATTAAATAGATATGGGCCATAGGAAGGGGAAAACTAACCCTGCTTGAAAAACCCATTTGATCCCAAATCTATCCCATATCCCATGTTGTTCTTATGTTATGGGGTAGAGAGAGTGAGAGAACATAATAAAAAAAACCCAGTCACTTTCATTTAAATAAAAGCAGTTCTGCTGGTAAACGTGGCAAGATTTTACTTTACACCAGAAATCAGTTGCCATAATAGGAAATTTACAATTGACAAACTGTGAAGATTTCAGAGTTATGGTTTGAAGCCAACAGGGAAACAATGGACCAGTTTAAGTAAGGCCAAAAAAAAAAATTTCCATCTAACATTTATTGGAATTGGGATGATTGAAACAGTAAACTGAGTTTACAAATTTGAATGATTTCCTAGACTGAAGCTGGACATGAGGTCATGGCAGTGTGTCTGTGTGTATCAGGGATAAAACACATATGTTAAAAGAAACCTGTTTTTCTTGTTTCTTTAATACCTTAAAATTCTTTACTTCTAATCATCTAAGAACTTCAGTCTAATTTTTCAATATTTATGTTTGCTTACATTGGAATTTAATTCAGATTAAACAATGAAAATAAACTACTCATTTTCAACTTGCTTTCCACTCAGTTTTGCTTTATATTCCTCATACACTAACAGATGCACAAATCAATGAGCTGCAAATACCAGAATGGGAGTGTTCTTACTGAAGCAACAAAAATCAATGGAAGGACTTTTATATTTAAATTTCTGAAAAACATTTCTGTTCATGTTAAGTTCTGTAAAATGCAGTTTATACAAAATCTACATTTAGGCTTAACTGAACCTCATAGTCTTCCTTTCTGTTCTTGTATTTGCCTGGCAGTAGTGATGAAGAGAAATAAAATGATAATATAGTCTTCATTATTTTTGCTTCATACTTTACTTAACTAAAACTGCCGGGAGATTTCATTCCTGATTTATTCAAAATGGAACTTGTTTAGGTTATTGGGACTAATGTCCTGTTTATTTAAAAAACCACCACTAGAATATCAGAACCTAAGTTTTGTGGGTCAGTGAGAAGCAGTGTCCAAAATAGGGATGTAAATGACTAGTTGACTATCCAATGACTATCCAACACGAGCTTATCGGATAGTCAACCAGTCCCTCAACTAGCTGCTTCCCTGTCCTCCGCTTGCTGACTCTATCAGAGAAAGGCAGCAGGGGGGAGCTGGCTTAAAAGCCGGTTCTCCCAAGCACCATCTCTGTAGGGGGCAAGGGAGTCAGGGTAGCAGGGACCGGGCGCAAGCCAGAAATCAGCTAATTCCTGGCTCGCGCCCAGTGCCAGAATGGGCTTTTAAAATGTTTTAAGAGCCTGCCTAAAACACTAGTCAATTAGTTGATTAAATTAAATTTAATATCCCTTCCTAAGCGAAGTCACTTTGACAAGAACTAGAACTTCATGCATTTCTTTTTACGATTTATTTATTTAAGCCCCACGCAATTCATTACCCGACTAAGAGAGGAATGTACAAGTGCAGATTTGGATCCATAATTTCCCACTGCTGATCCATCTTGTTGGTGTGTAGAATGTCTTGCTTCATAAGTCGCTATGAAATTTAAAAAAATATAATCCTAGAATCAATAAGGTTCCATAAGCATGAAGTGAAAATTAAACATTACAACACAAAGATTTGTGAAGCTTAATAATATTGTATGACAGTTTATTCTGTCCCCTATCCAAATGCCTAACTTTGTGCTCGCTTCCTATATCATAGTTTATCTTCTTTAGGCATTAACAATAGAAGTTAGCTTCCTATATCATAGTTTATCTTCTTTAATATTTAGGCATTAACAACAGAAGTTGTTATTTCATCTTATCAAATTGGCATTAATTGCTTTAATAGCTGTTAAAATACATATGTACATGACAACTTGCAGCAGCCATAAAATAATCTCTTAAATTAATTAGCTGAATAATTAATGTGAATTCTTAACTATCATTTTCAAGAGATTAGGTTTTTTCCTTTTTTATTTTTAAATCTAATTGTATTTAAAGAGGACATTGTCAAGGAAGAGCATTAGACATGGACTTTGATCTGTTACAAAACTGTTGAAATTTTGACCATGGAAAATTCTCTGGATACTAAATACCTGAGGTTTTTCATTGTTAATCATTCACTTGAAAATAAAAACAAAAAGCTTCCTGTTTTTAGAGCCTTTGAAAATCCAAAGTTTTTGTTTCCTACTATCTATACAGCAATTACACTCTTTTCTCAGAGATATGCTGACATCAAGAATGATTTTCTCATTCAAAACCAAATGCTTTGCAGAGAAAAGTTACTTCAGGTCAAAATTACTTTTAAACAAAATTATCCCATAAATTCCAGATCAACTCAGCATATGCTGAATGGAAACAGAAATGGGCTCTAATGGGAAACATTTACAGTGTCCTAAGTATGTACTGCAAAATACAGATAAGAAAATGATAAACAGAGCTATACAAAATATGCATTTGGCAATGTCTAAATGTTCCACCCTTTAACTTTATCTTATGTCACTGTTTCTCAAAGTGGTCTGCAGAACCACTCTGAGGCTACATCTAAGCTACAAAGATTTTTCGAAAGAGGATATGCAAATTCCTATGGAATTCCATGGGAATTTGCATATCATCTTGCATATGATCGCATTTTCAAAAGAGGATCTTTTGAAAATGAAATTAGTCTGGATGCAGTTTTTTCAGAAAAAAAAATCCTTTTTCAAAAAAAACTGCTCTTACTAAAAAAAGGAGATTTACGCTGTAAGTAAACAAACCAGAGTGGCCCAGTAGCAGTTTTCTCAGAGTGGGTCCATGGACCATTTTGAGAAACACTGTCTTATGTACATTAAGAGGCAGAAGAGTTATTAGTACACCAAATACAGCAGCAGAATAATATGACAACCAATTGAAATGGCGGGTACTAGAACTGTTAATTTCCTCATACACACACACAATCAATCATCACTTATTGATCTGAGATATATTTGATTGACAAATTCCAAACATGAGGTTTTATTTGCAGGCCAGCAACAGGCTACTAACCTTGAATATTTGTTTTAATTTTTAAAACCCAAATTTGCATTTCAAAACAGAGAAGGGCTCATCCTGATGGTATTGCAAGTATTCAGCACCTCTCAGGATTTGAAATAGAGTTAGCAAAAAAAGCAACAATATGTTCAATTTTACTTAAGTGAAAATATTTCCATTTCACCTGCATAACTTAAGAACAATCCTGTTTTAATAAAGATAGTGTTATTGTTGTAATGCTATTCAGCATCACTTATACAAAATGTTAGTGTCTCCTGAAAAAGAAAAATCAAGGAAACTTAAGATGTTAGTAAGGTTACAAAGCAGCTTGCTTTTTGAAATTATGTTTCTACTGTTATCTATTCTTATCCTCTGCTGGCATCTAGTTTTATCCCTTACAAATGTGTTTCCGTGTCAGAAAGATGACAGGAAGGAAATTGTGAAATACACTACAGTACTTGTAGGCTGAACATGGAGCTCTGTTACTATGTGGTTACTAGCAACAGAACTTTCAAAACTAACAAGAAAATAAAACACATTAATTTGGGGAAGAGGGGAAATTTTTCTTTCTTGCAAACAAAGCCTCACTATAAATCTGAAACTAGTACAGCAATTACTGAAAACAGAAGTAGGTTTTTTTCTCAATATTAAAAAACCATGCTTAGACCTTAAAATATCATAGTGCTCAATCATTAACCTATGTTGCAAAAAGGCTTGCCAAAATGTGGTATTAGCATTAATCTGTGAACAGTTGCACACAAATCTACGCATGATAATTAATTTACTGGGAAGCAAACAGGAATAGAGGATTAAATAATCAGGAAACAGAGCTTTTGCATAAAATAAAATAAAAAGGTTGGCTCATTTACTACAAGACAGATGTAATTAAATCCAGACATAATTAGGATTATTCTTTAATTGCATTTGAGATTTGGAGGCACTGGAAAAGAAAAAAACAACCGCGTATGACCCTGTGAATCCCAGATTTTATCCTACCTCCATGTGGCTGTTCAAATCCACTCCTTGACTTCCCATAGCCATAACTCAAGGGTATTCTCTGGTAACTAGATGGAGAAGCAGGAGGTGAACATATAGGTGACTTGGGGGGAGACTTGGTTTCCTGGTTTAGAAACAACAAAATGCAATTCTGAGGTGACTACAGAAGTAGGTGGAGTAATTCTGCATTCCAGTTCAATCATATATATATAGCCTGATGTTCAAGGCATAATAATAACTGAAAAATCCCCATGCCCTTATTTCCAAAAAAACCCATGATTATAAATGGAAGATGGCAAAGTGATTCTTTGGTGTTGAGCCTTATTCTGGGGGTAGAATATAACTGTTCATCACAAAGGGGTTAGAATGAACTCAAAGACATTTTACTCAAATATGTGTCTGCAGTAATATTTTTGTTAAATCTTATTATTACAGTACTGAGTATCTTTGGTTTTACATATTACATTTAGGTGTTTGAATGCATACTTCATTTAAGAAAATACTTTTTATTTCAGAAGGCGGCAAAAAATGAAACACAATTAAAAGCACCAATTCAAAGATTTATTTGAAATATTCTGAGAACTGCCTTTATGGGAAAAACATTTGTAGATGTTGTCAGATCTAACTTGGAGTTTGTTCCCTTTTTGTTTAAGAACTGAGCTTTGGTAGAACTCTACTCAATGGATAGTGATCAATGGCTTGATGTCTGGTTGGCGGTCGGTATCAAGCAGAGTGCTCCATGGGTCAGTTATGTTCAACGTCTTTATTAATGACCTGGATGAGGGGATAAATTGCACCCCCAGCAAGTTCACAGATGACATGAAGCTAGGGGGAGAGGCAGAGCCGCTAAAGGTTAGATATAGGGTCCAGAGTGACCTAAACAAATTGGAGGACTAGGCCAAAAGAAATCTGATGTGGTTCAACAAGGACAAGTGCAGAGTCCTGCACTTCAGACGGAAGAATCTCAAACACTGTTACAGGGACCAACTGGCTAAGCAGCAGTTCAGTAGAAAAGACCTGCGGATTGTAGTGGATGAGAAGCTGGATTTGAGACAACAGTGTGCCCTTGTAGCCAAGGACTAACCAAGAAGGCCAACTGTATATTAGGTTGCATTAGGACAAGCATTGCCGGCAGATCTAGAGAAGTGATTATTACCCTTTATTCTGTACTAGTGAGGCCACATCTGGCGTACTGCATCCAATTCTGGGGCCCCCATTACAGAAAGGATGTGGATGCATTGGAGAAAGACCAGTGGAGGGTAAAAAAAATGATTAGGGTCTGGAACACATGACTTACAAGGAAAGGCTGAGGAATTTTGGCTTGTTTAGTCCACAGAAGAGTGAGGGGGGATTTGATGCAGTCTTTAACTACGTGAAAGGAGGTTCCAAAGAGGATGGAGAGAGGCTGCTCTCAGTAGTGACAGACGGCAGAATAAGGAGCAATGGTCTCAAGATGCAGTGGGAGAGGTCTAGGTTGGATATTAGGAAAAATTATTCGGTGAAGCACTGGAATGGGTTACCTAGGGAGGTGGCAGAATCTCCATCCCTAGAGGTTTTTAAGTCCCAACTTGACAAAGGCCAGGCTGGGATGATTTAGTTGGGGTTGGTCATGCTTTGGGCAGGGGGATGGACTCAATGACCTCCTGAGGTCTCTTCCAATCCTCTGATTCTATGATTCTGGAGGACACAATCCTGAAGTAATTTACTATATAAGCAGAAACAAATATTACTTCACAATGCAATGCTAAGATAATAAAAGTCACCAAGAAAGTTATAGATTTGGCAGCAATGCTCTATTACAGTGAAATGATTCACAGAAAAGAGATATTTGCAACCTTATTTCCAATTTCATGTGTGTCTGGCACATTAACTCAGTAATAATTGTTAGCCTTAGGCCAAGTTTGTCATAACTAACACTGGTAATTCCATAAGTGTGCAGGGGCTCCACAGATATATACAAAGACTGCTCCAAGCAGCTTGCAGCACAAAACACGCTACATATTGGACCTCAATAATCCAGATTTCCTTTGTCTGTGAACATTCATGGTCCAGCATCCATAAGTGCTCTGGGTCGGCGCACTTACTGGAGAGGGGGGAGAAGCCAGGGGCTCCATTCACAGCAACTTCTCCCTATCTCCTCAGAGCTTTCAGGGAACTGCATATAACTGATTTGCAGCGTTCAAACTCAAGGAAAAGGAGATGAAGGGAAGGAGGGGAAGGAGTGGGGATGGGGGTGGATATTTTCCTGATGGTAAATTTTTAGAACATTAACTTAGTATAACACCTCATAGGAGATTAGAGGGGGAAAAACACGGTACGCAAAAACAACCCAAAAACAAAGAGTTGTGATGATAGCAGACCAGTTGCCAACTCATGCCCGGTTCTAAGCCTCAACTGGAGACTGACAAATACATAATTGGAAGCTGTCTAACTCACCTGTGTGTTAGTATTGTTAAAATAGGTATTAGAGTTAAGTATGTGGTTAGTGATTAGACATTGTGGAATGCTTGTAAACTGCTGCATGCATTAATCTCCCTTGTTATATCTGTATCCAATTGTCATAGGGTATTATTTAAGTGTTTGCTCTGTAACTGTAAATGACCAGTTAAGAGAGAAGCATTGCCCAGTACTACAGTGGGTATAAACATCAAACACACCATAGGGAAAAGATTTTGTTGATTGTTCCTCTCCCACCATGAATAAGAGATATAGAACTGAATTTCTCCCAGAAGCTGAACTTGCAACTAGAAAGGACAAGGAATAAAAGGATCAAACAAGGAGATCTATGTTATTAGGACTTGCAGAGAGCAAGATTTCTAAGCAAAGGAACCCAGCTGCTTGGTCTAGGTTAATCCTAAAGGACATACAGAATCTGCACATAACAGCATCTTCTATCAGCTTTCAGAATCTAAAACTGTAACTCATTTGTGTACAGGCAGTCCCCGGGTTACATGGATCCGACTTACATCGTATCCCTACTTACAAACGGGGTGAGGCAACCCCGCACTAGCTGCTTCCCCCCAGCAGATCAGGGAGACGCAAAGCTAGCGCCCCCCCCAGCAGACCAGGGAGACGTGGAGCGGCTTTTCTCAGCAGACACCTCAGCTTGAGAATAAAGGACTGAGGAAGTGAGGTGTGGGAGAATAAAACTGAGCTCTGGAGAAATGTTTGGCTAGAGTTTCCCCTACAATATGTACCAGTTCCGACTTACATACAAATTCAACTTAAGAACAAACCTACAGTCCCTATCTTGTACGTAACCCGGGGACTGCCTGTATATATGTTTATGTGCTTTAAACCTTGTAAATAACTCTCTTATGTCCTTTTCCTAGTGTGACAGACGCAGACTAGCTGTCTGCCACTCACTCGTGGAGGGGATACATGCTGGAGTTTAGGTGAACAGCTTTCTCTTTCCTGAGTACATGAAAGGCCAGGCCTAAGTCCAGCATAATCAGGCAGGCATCAACTGGAACTTGCTAGAAGCTACAGGCTGACTAAAGACCTGCAGCCAATTAAGGTCTATGGTGCTGCTTTAAAAGGGCTTCCCCCAGGCAAGGAAGGAGGAATTGCTGTGTATAGGAGCTGTGTGGGTGTGCGCTTAGGACTGACAAGCAGGTACTAAAGGAAAGGTGCAGGGGGGATTGTTTTGGGAAAAGCTACCAGAGTGAGAGTGGCAGTAACCCTGCCTGTTGCCACTGTCTTAGGGTGCCTGGGCCAGACCCTGGAGTAATGGGAGGGCCCGGGTTCCCTCCAACCTCCCCAGGACATCACAAAGATCTGCCTCGAGAAGGGAGATCAGGATTCAAGAGGGGATTTTCCCCAAATTTCTGAAGTAGCCTGTGATGAGTATAGCTCAGTAGGCTGTGGACCCTGCCTCTAGTAGAGAGAAAGAGGACATGTGGAGGGCCACAGCGAGCCTCTGAGGCTAACACTATCCACCAATAGTGCAAGACCCATGGGGACTAGCTGGAGCTTTGCCACACTAGTTAATGATTCTTTAGATTGTTTATTATAGAACTGATTACAGGTATTGTCATTTGTGTAAGATCTAAAGTTCAATGACCGAAGGTAAGCAACTGGACCTTTGAAAAGAGAACTAATCTGAATACTGCTGTGATCTTTGATGGTCTAACACGATCTATTCGTGGGACCGTCTATCATGATCTTGATATCAAGACAGGTGGGAATCCCTTTGGATAACTCCACGATAAAGCTGTTATAGAACCCGAGGAGTTCATGCTTGATAACTAGTTGGTGAAATTTAAGTACAGAACTCACAACTGGTTGCGGGGCATAGATCAGCATTAACATCAAGCTCCCTGGCAATACCCGCCCTGGGCTCAGGAATAGTGTTTCCTGTAAGCTGAGCACTGAGGTAGCCACCAGGAGAGATTCAGATGCTTCCCCACTGATTAGCAGAGCACCCACAGCTGGCAGCATGTATTCTACTGGTGGGCATACATTAAAAAATGCCTCCATGCACATAAACTTGATTCTGCACATGGATTGAAAAAACTAGAGGAACATTGCTGGAGAAGTTAATGATTCAACCAGTGGACTACATTTGGTGATGAATCCTGGTCACACACTGTCTGAGGCTCATGCATTAAAAACACAACCAATCTGGGCTTTATGCCCGGCTTCTTAACAGTCTGCTCTGAGGTTAGTACTCACAATATTGAGCCACTCCAGACAGCTTGACAGGAGTCAGGAAGGGCTGTCTGCTCCCTTAGCCTTCCAGCATCTTCCTTAATTATGTAGTCACTAGGGACTGTACTTATGATAGAGATTCATTAGTTCTGCTGCTTTTTACACCAAAGTTGTCTATTCTTCCCCTCTGCATAATTCTCTTCCTCCTTCCAAAACAACAACTTTGAACTACATAAACAAAGTATAACATTTGAGCATGAACATGTACAAAGTAGGGATGTTAGATATCAGTTATTTGAGTAATCGTGTAGCTGCAACAAGTTTTAGCAGTTATACGGTTACTAAAATGCTCCCTCCCCGCTCCTGGCCCTACTCCCAGGGGAACCCTCTGCCACCCTTATTGCAGCCCTTGCTCCGGGGAGGCCCAACTTCCCCACGGACAGAGGCTGCTCTGGCATCCTGCCTGCCCCCCTGCACTAGTATCTCTGATACAGAGGCAGCAGCGGGCGGGGGTGGGGAGACAGGCAACTCCACAGAGCTGGTTTTGGAATCTGTCTAATGGGGAGCCAGCTTTTAAGCACAGGAAGCTCCACGGAGCCAGCATGTGCTGAGAGCAGGCTTAAAAGCCGGCTCCCCACACATATCGGCTCCCGACTGCTGCCCCCGTGCTGCTGCCTCTGAGAGAGGCAGCAGTGCAGGGGGGCAGGTGGCTCCCCGGGAGCTGATAAGCCAGTTTCCCCACATGTACCAGCTCCCTCCACGTTGCTGCGCCTCTATCAGAGGCAGCAGTGCTGGGCTGGAGGGAGGTGGGGGACAGGCTGCTCCCTGGGATCCCCCTGAGCTGCTGTCTCTGTAGGAGGTAGCAGGAGGGCAGAGGGTTCTGTGGGGGAAGGGGCTGAGTGTAGTTGTATGGCTTAACCAATAAACCCAGGCTTACTGGTTAACTGTTTAAATGACTATACACTAATGTCGCTAATACACAGGACATTATACCTCTAACAAGCGATAACCCACAGTGATGACTTTACAGCAAATATGGGTAGATGGAGAAAGAATGTGTGTATTTTTGCTGGGCAAGTTGTATTGATTTGTGTGTGAAACAAATTCACACACAAGCCATGCAGTCTCTCTCACATAATCAATGTAACCGTTGCGTGCAAATTTGCTATAAAGAAATGGTGATGACAGGACTACTCAACTTTAGAAACCTCGGGGGCCACAATGATACTCACAGCACATGCCAAGGGCTGCAACTTAAGTGGGGTTGCATATAAATGCAAATATATATACAAATAGCTTATTTCACACTGACGGGCATGAATACAAAGATTAAGGCAAGACTACACAACACACAGGCCCCATTTAAGTCAATTCTGCTGATATTAATAAAATGCAGGTTACCCGATTTCCACCCATATTACAGCATTTTTAATGAGCAATGACAGTCCAGGTATTTAACTACTAAAATGTACTTCAACAGAAGACCATTATATTGACTACTTTTTTGTTTTGGTTCCACCTGCGGGCCCCATGTTGAGCCCCGTGTAAATCCAAACTGCACCGTGAGCAGCAAACAAAGGGGCCGCGTGCCGCAAACAAACAGGCCGCAAGCCGCATGTTGAGTAGCCCTGGATTAAGTTACCTCTGATATCACAATGGCATAGAATTCTTAGTATGACACAGGTTTTCAGCTATACTAAGGAATGTGTCTATGTCACAATGTAAATAAATGGCTGAGAACTTAAGAATTGGATGGTAATAGATCAAGAATCCCACGGATGATGGAACCTGGTCATACTCTAAACAAAAATAGCTTTCAAATATCCTTGTAGCAATTTCCATCACAACACACTGATGTAACAGACATTCTAGACTTCAGATTGGCAGAGTTACGGTCCTGCAATTTTATAGATAGATAATATGCAAAAAACACAATTTTATAGAAGTTCTTATAAATAAAATCCTCTGGCATTCAATTGGTACAAAAGAATATCAAATTAAAAGCAAAATCCTGCCAACAATTATTCACATGAATAGAATTAACTTTGCATGAGTCCCATTGAACTAATGGAATAAGAATGTATGAGTATTACTGTTCGCTGAACTGGACCCTAAAGTTACACTACAGACTAATATATTTGCCTTAAACAGAGCCTCGTTACCTGTTTATCCCCTTCATCTGCTCTTTTGAAGGAGTTTTTTTCCAAGGTAGCATGTGGCACCTGAAATTTAATTCCGTGTATTTCTGCTGCATTTCCATATCTCATTTCATCATTCTTCAGTGCCATAAAACGAGGAAGAGGCAATTCTTTATTTACAGAAAGAAAGAGAAGTTCAAATGAAACTAAAGTATATTAAAATTCTGTAAAGCAGTATCACAGTACAAAACCATTGAAAAATTAAACTATAAAATAAGAAATAGCACAAAGAATTACCCCAAAAAAGCACTTGTGGAATTCTTGGAATTATTTGTGTGTTTTATAGCAAATATTATGGCAATTAAAATGTACGTCTCTAACTTTGCACATACTTTATTACTGTAAAGACAAAGAGGTGCTTCATAAAATTCTGTAAAGCAGTATCACAGTAGAGGTGCTTCGTTTGCAGTATGAATTCAACTCTCAAACTCATTTCTTATTTTACCCCTAGCCAGCACTGTTGTGTGTTGTTCTTTGATATCTACAAATATTTTCCAGGAGAAACTATGGGAGCAATCAATTTATTATTGCAAGATCATTGTATCCTTCATGCTGTTATTAGAAAAGAAAAAATGCCAAGTCAGACTGATTCAAAGCCCTGTAGCACTGTTGTGTCAGAAATACTACCATTTGCCATAGCTCAAACTAAAGAGCAACATTTAAAACTTCATGCATCATCCAAAAATTCAACAAGTTCTAAGGAATTTTATCATCTGATTGTTGGAAATTTCCACTTCTCCACATAGTAAGTTGTAAGATCTATACAACAAAACAAACAGAATAAAGGTTCCTGGAATCAAACAAAACACTAAAGCATCTTTATAACCACTTAGATGTACAGCTGTTGCTATGAAATCAGTCTACTTTTACTGTACATTAACCATTCATTCCAACAGCTTTACTGTGTTTCTGAGGATAGTATAATTAGTGTTATTGATGCCTGGAAACATTTCAACAAGTGGGACATCAATCCAAAGACAGAAAATACCCTTGTTCAAGCAAATCTGTGTAGTAATTCCAGCTGTTGTACTTGTGAAACATACATATTGAATCTTACTTGATTCAGATTGCTGAAGTAATCAATTTCTCCACTAACTTTAATGCTCTAAAAATATCCTTAGGATAGACATAGCAGGAATCTGACCCAAAATCCCTATTTAATAATGTCCTCTTGACAGATTTATGGTTTATTGTTGGTTTAGAGTTTTTTTTTTTTTGTGGTGTTTTGTTTTTAAATGCAATCCTTCAAAACAAAGTCAGAAACTATATGAAAATCCCAGCACTTAGGCTTGATGATCAAACAATGTATTAAGGAGCCTAGTCTTTTAGAAGTGCTTTAGACAAGATTCTTGACAATTTAATTCTCACTTCCCTGCTAGCTCATAATGATGAAACAACAAAGATAACAGGGAGAACAGGGTCCAAAATACATACACACATCAGCAGTCTCAACAAATGAAGTGCTCTGGATATACAGAGGGATGATCAAAGTCTAGGAACTGGGATCTCTTTCAAAACAGTGGTGAAAGTATAAATGCAAATTAAAACATAAACCCACACATGTGCACAGTCACGGGGATAATTTTAAAAAATTAGTTTAATTTGGAAGTAAAAAGGGCAAACTGAGGGCCCTAGCAGTGATTCTGTTACAAAACATATTTACAGTACGATTTTCAAATGGGGCACTACCATGTTGCATTCTTCCCAGGCTAGAGATGTAACCGGTTAGCATCACCCTTACCTGGTAATGCTTACCTGTAATGAGCTGCCCCATTGGATGGACCTGGCTCTAGCAAAAAGAAGGCAGGATAAGGGACGTCCTAAAGGTAGGGAGGTGGGGTGAGTTCTGCTGTGGCCTAGGGGATAGGCAACAGCCTGGGGAGCCCTATGCAGGTGGGGTGGAGGGACAGTTCCAGCCCAGTAAGGCTGGTTGTGCCATGGACCAGAGCAGGTCTCTGCCCAGCCCAAACAGTCCATGGTTCATCGGGCCCAGGTGGACTGGAGCAGCCCCCCACCCACGGGATCATGGTTAAGAGGTTAATTGATTAAATGAGATTTTACATCCCTATCTCAGGTTCAGGCTTACTTCTGCAATCAGTCAGTCAGTCAGTATATATACTAGCCAATTAGCCCGTCATAAGACGGGATTTTCAGGTCTCTCCTCCATGTCAGTCTTCTCTCCTGAGCCTCCAGTCTCTCTCTCTCTCTCTCTCTCCTCCTCCTCCTACTGCCTCCCCCTCTCCTCTCTCTCTCAGCTCTCCTACGCCTCCTGCCTCTCTCTCTCTGTCTCTCTTTCTCTTCTCCTCCTCCTCCTGCCTCTCACTCAGGGCCTCCTGCCGTGGCACTCGGCTGACTTCTGCACCGCTCAGCCGGGCCACCACGAGGCAGCAAGCAGCCGTTCGGGCTTCCCTGTGGCGATCCGGCTGAACAGCGCAGAAATCAGCTGAGCTCCACGGCAGGAGGCGAAAGGGGGCAAGGCGGTGATGTACATGGCCAGGCCCCATCTCCTGGGCATGTACGTCACCGCCCCACCCCCCCTTCCCCTTCTGCCGTGGCACTCAGCTGACTTCTGCACTGCTCCGCTGGGCCACCGCAGGAGACCAAGTGGCGCAAGCAGCCTTTTGGGCCCCACACTCCCCATGCAGCACAGGCCGCCCAGAGGGAACAGCTAGCATTTCAGGCAACAGCGCCCCCCAGAGGGAACAGCCAGCATTTTAGCGTTACAGACTCTCAGACATTGGGCTACTATATATATGATAATATATAATATACACACACACGCACACTTTGATACCTGTAGTTCAACTGAAAACCTACCCTAATTAATAATGCCTTAATTCTGATTGACACCCAAGTGAGTACTTTTCAAAGATTTCAATAATCAGGTATCAGTCAATAGAAGAATCAAGAATGACAAAATGGGACAAGAGAGCTGTGGAAGTGAGAGCTTAGACTTCTTCTTTTACCTGAAGCAGTTTACATTAAGAGATAGGATAGCTCAGTGGCTTGAGCATTGGCCTGCTAAACCCAGGGCTGAGAGTTCAATCCTTGCAGAGGCCATTTGGGGCAAAAATTTGTCAGGGATAATACTTGGTCCTGCTGTGAAGGCAGGCAACTGAACTCAATGACCTTTCCCTTCCAGATCTAGGAGACAGACAATTTACATTTTAGCACTAAAACAAATGCCTTTGAATGGATTCCTGGTTAGTAGGAGTGTAGCAGAAGTTGTTCTAATCCGGATTGTCACTGCACAGATTTTGTGTCAAAGTGATACAACAGACCCAGGAAAGGATCAGAATTTTAGCTGCCCACTTTGAAGTTTAAATCCTTTGCTCAGGGGCTGGTGGTGCAGGTGGCGCCAGGGAAGCAACATCTAATTACTTCCAGTTATTAGCCAGTAAAAATGTTCTTCCATCCCATCCACTTGGGATTTTTTTTTAAATCTCGTTTAAAAAATATTTTTTTCTGCAGAGAAGCTGTACTTAATAATTTAAACAGGAAATGTGTTTGAAATCATCTTTAAAGCACCCTCTAACATTTACTGACACAGTACATTTTACAACCTGTAGCCATTTTTTTCAACAGGTCAGTTTGCAAAGGAAGTCCCCACTCTGGCAGGATGGTCTGCACAAGCGGAACTCTGACCTCCCATGGAGCCACAACTTCAATAAAAGCTCTATGTAGTTGCAGGAATCAGCCTGAGCAGACCTTTTAAGCCTAAGGTACCACACAGCATGAATGAGGATGGCAAAAATGGACTGACAATGATGACTGTTAAGGGTCTGGCTATTTCTATAAAGCTTTTATAGATGCAGAAGCAGTATGAACTTATCTCTCTATATAATAAAACTTTGCATATAGAACCCAAGAATTTCATTAGTAGTGGTACCCATAAATTATGTATTATAAAACTACCTTTACCTCTTCCCCTATATATATATATATAAATAAAAGTACGGTTTTGCTTTACAAACAGGTTGAAAGAAAAACTAAATGAAGCCAATAACACGCAATGAATGTTAAAGAAATGAAAGAACAAGCTCACAGCACACTAAGCCATGTGAGCTACTTACCACACTTAAGGCTCTCTATCCGTACTGGAAAGCCAGACTGTGCTGCAGCAATTAGTTTCAAAGCAACATAAAATTGAGCTGGACCAAAGTAACCCACACGTTTTGCCCCACAAAGTTCTGTGATCTAGAAGAGAAAAAAAAAACACATACTTTGTAAAGTAACTTCTCCTTCTCTCTCTTACGAAGCTTGCATTGAATCTTGAAGTAGAGAAGTCTTCTAGAACTAAAAATTCACAAGTTTATATGCAGTGCTTTATTAAAAATGAGCAATCTAGTCACTCTGTATACCAAATACCCCTGCATTTAAAATAAATAAGTAGTTATTTATTACTCCCTCCAGAAATGCTGCAGTGTAACATTGCTGCTATAAAATAGTTAACATGTTTCTACCTCAGGTGACTCTTTCAGTGGTAGGTGAAATGATTACAGTGAGTATACAATACAGGCAGTCCCCAGGTTATGTACAAGATAGGGACTGTAGGTTTGTTCTTAAGTTGAATTTGTATGTAAGTCGGAACTGGTACATATTGAAGGGGAAACTCTAGCCAAACATTTCTCCAAAGCTCAGTTTTATTCTCCCACACCTCACTTCCCTCAGTCCTTTATTCTCAAGCTGAGGTGTCTGCTGAGAAAAGCCGCTCCGCGTCTCCCTGATCTGCTGGGGGGAAGGGGGGCGCTAGCTTCGCATCTCCCTGGTCTGCTGGGGGGAAGCAGCTAGTGCGGGGTTGCCTCACCCCGTTTGTAAGTAGGGATCTGATGTAAGTCAGATCCATGTAACCCGGGGACTGCCTGTATATGAAAACCCTTTGGGCTAAAAGCTGCACTGTAAATAGGAGATATTAATTATCATCATCTTGGTCCACCAATCATTCAGTTAATTACTTTTGACTATAAAATAAAAATCATAAATACCTTAAAATTATTTCATCAAAATAGTTTTGTGAAAAGTTAACGAGGCTTACAATTAAACTCATCTCTCAACCACACACACAAGTTAGTGTCTACTAGTGCAAATTCACCTGCTCTGTTTATTAGACCTCAACAGTTTTGTCTGTGGAGAAGACAAACTTAGTTTTTCCCCATTCCATTCACCTGGTCTTCAGCTGAATAAACATTCGCTACTGGTGAACTGGAAATGCAGACCAAAACTGAGGAGGCTACATCTACCCAACAAAACAAAACAAAACCACCCATAGGCCACAAGCCCCAGAGCCTGGGTCAACTGACTCGGGCTCCTGATGTGGGGCTAAACAGCTGTGTAGGCGTTCGGGCTGGAGACCCTACCCCTTGCAGAGTTAGAGAGCCCAAGCTACAGCATAAGCATCTACTCTGCTATGTTTAGCAAGGAAGCACAAGTCCAAGCAAGCTGACCCAGGCTCTGAGACTCACTACCATAGAGGGGTTTTTTTGCTGTGTAGATGTAACCTGAAATTCAGAAAAGCTCCCACAACAGGCTTCAGGAAGATCTTCAGGTTAGAGTGAAGCCACGTTCCCTATGGGTGAAGAGGGAAGCCTCAACTTATTTGACTGATGATTCACATCTCCCAATCCTGTAGAGGTTGTACCGTCTAAGTGCAAAAATGAGATGGAACCTGACCTGTCACTCAATGGGTAAGCCTAACCTCCTGGGGAAACCACCAGAGTGCAGTATTCCCAAAGCAACAGCAACAAGGGAGAATTTGTTGTTCGATTTCACTAGTTCTAACAAACAGCACAAACGAGTAATTAGTTTTCTGAATGTATTTCAATTATTAGAGGATATAAGGAGAAGCAGTTATTAAAGAGTAAATACCTGCTCCCCTATAGACCTGAATCATCAAGAAAAATCATCAGTCAACTAACATTTTCCTTCCTAAAGGCTTCTCTACATGGTGGGGTTTTTACAGATTAGGTTTGTGTACACTAATTATTGTGAGAAACTAATCCAAACTAGTTTCATCCATAAAGCTGGCTTTTTATACTTCTGAATTAATGATAATTCAGTTAGCAATAACAATGAACAAAAGACAGAAGTGTTCCATAAATATTTCTATTTGGTATTTGGGGAAAAGATGTCTTAACATCACAACAATGACAATAACACTTTCTATTCCGTTAGTATTCAGGAGGATGTTAAACAGCAGCTACTGAAGTCAGAAATATTTAATCAGCAGGTTCAGATAATTTACATGCAAGAGTTTTGAAAGAGCTGACTGAGGAGCTATAGGTCTTAGAACACTTTCAAAAGTCTGGAAGAAATCTAATGTGCCAGTATCTAAAAAGGAATGGCCAGATTAATTTTAGCCCTGCCATCTGATATCAATCCTGGCTAAGATAATGGAGCTGGTTTCGGTAGGTCACTAGGACATAAAAGTTGTTGTTTCTAAAAAAAGCCGATTTAAAGTATTGTTCTCAATTTCTTAAAAAAACCCACAACCATTGAGACATTGGAATAAAAAGGTAATTCTTTTTTTATTTATTATTCATACTTTGTTCTGCTCTACCAGCTGACGGCAAATGTTACTTTTGTAATTTGTCCTTGAAGGCAATGCACATGAAGCAGTTTTTCCCAGCACAAATCTAAAAATTGTTCTTGCTCTTCCTCATTCCCTCCAAACAAGCTTGTACTGTAATCTCAAACATCTCTCATGATCTAGCTTCCAGTGCAAGAATTTTGAACAAAGCCTAGAGACTGAGGTTTGTTTTCTAGAAGGAGAGCAGCAGGTGGAATCAAAGATATTGACAGAATGGCACTGGGTTGACTGGCTAAGTGGAGCCACCTGAGGAGAGACTCAGCATCTAGACTTTCACTGGTTCAGAAATTAGAAAGCTGTAACTTCTCCTGTTTTTCCTCTATTCTGTTCATTTTGTTATTTCATACACTCATGCCCAGCTTATCTGCTTTGCCCACCTGCTACATCCTGTCTGCCACCATCCTCACACTTACTGGCTACGTCTAGACTAGCATGATTTTCCACAAATGCTTTTAATGGAAAAGTTTTCCGTTAAAAGCATTTGCGGAAAAGAGCGTCTAGATTGGCACTGACGCTTTTCCGCAAAAGCACTTTTTGTGGAAAAGCGTCCGTGCCAATCTAGACGCGCTTTTGCGCAAAAAAGCCCCGATCGCCATTTGTGCAAAACAAATCTGAGCTGTCTATACTGGCCCTTTTGCGCAAAAGCTTTGCACAAAAGGACTTTTGCCCGAATGGGAGCAGCATAGTATTTCCACAAAAAGCACTGATTCCAGACAGTAGGAAGTCAGTGTTCTTGCGGAAATTCAAGCGGCCAGTGTAGACAGCTGGCAAGTTTTTCTGCAAAAGCAGCTTCTTTTGCGGAAAAACTTGCCAGTCTAGACACAGCCACTGAAATAGGATTTTTCTTCTTTACTTTTCCTACTACAATGGGGCCCAGATTGGTATTCCTAGACACTATTTTAATACACATAATTAATAAGTTCCAACAGCTATTTTTCTTCATGCTAGAAAGTGGTCTCCTAACCCATTTAGAAAAGCTTAGGCCTGGTCTACATTGATATTTTACATTGAACTTAGCCACATTAGGTTGAAAACAATAAATCCATTCTGTTGACTTTAAGAGCCACAATGTGAGTCCCACATAAGGATGTTAAATTGCGGTTAATTGACCACTGACTGCTCGACTAGTCGATAGGAACTTCCACATTACTCCTTTGAAATGTGTAAGAATCGCCAGCAGGAGCGCTTGTGCATTTCAAAGCCATGGAGCCCAGGGTCAGCGGGGGACTCAGAGTCTCCTGCTAACCCCGAGCTCCATGCTGCGCTACATGCTGCATGGAGCCCGGGGTCAGCTGGGGACTCCCCAGCTAACCCCGGGTTCCGCGCAACAATTCCACAGAGCTCAGGGTCAGCTGGGGACTCCCCAGGTGATCCCATGTTCTGCTGAAATGCCACGCAGAGTCCAGGATCAGCTGGGCACTCCCCAGCTGACCCCGGGGTCCACGGTGCCATGGGGCATTTCAAAGGGGCAGCACCACACAGCTGAGCCTGGGATCAGCTCTATGGTTGCCCCCTTGAAATGCCAAAGTGGCGTTTATAGGGGCAGCACCCGTGGAGCCTGGGGTTAGCAGGAGACTCCCCAGCGGAGTCCAGGGGGAGCTAGGGACTCTCCAGCTGACCCCGGGTTCTGCACGGCATTTCTCCAGGCTCCATGGCACTTCAGCATTTAAAAGGGGCAGCACAGCACAGCTGAGCCGGGAATCAGCTTTGTGGCGGCTGCCCCTTTGAAATGCTGCCTGGGGGTTCAGCTGTGTGGTGCTGCCGCTTTGAAGTACCCCTTCTTCCCCCCCTACTTTGCTGCCTCTGTCTGATAGAGGTAGCAAGGCGGTGGGAGGGGGGAACAACCAGTCGACTCACTGATAAGCATTTGCTTATCGGATAGTTGACTAGTCCTTAACATCCTTAGTCCCATACTTAGCTTTTGATGTTTGAGGTGTGATGTGTGTTGATAGAAAGAATTTGCTTCAGAAGCCACCAAGAACTTACCCCTGCAATAAACCCTGTTGCCAACTTTGTCCACAAATCTATAAAAGTAACAGCTGCACAGAACCTAACCACATAAGCCACAACATCAGAGGCTCATACAACTGCACATCCACTAATGTGATATATACCATAAAGTGCCAGCAGTGCCCCTCTGCCATGTATATTGGCAGAACTGAACAGCCTCTACCGTAAAGGTTAAATTGGACATAAGTTGGATATCAGAAATGGTAATACACAAAAACTTGTAGGTGCACATTGTAACCTACTTGGGCAATTCATTAATGGATTGAAAAGTAGACTTTCTTCTACAAAGGAATTTCAGAAACCAACTACAGAGAGAAACTGTGGAACTGGCCTTCATATGCAAATTTGACACTCATGGCTTAAACGAAGACAAACTGAATGGGCCATTATATTCAACAACCAAATCACATCAAAAGCTAAGCATGGGAAACTTACAGCCCAATCAGTCTCATTAGCACCAGCACTACAATTATCCCCCCCCTTCTTTTTTTGTTATTAGTTGGGAGGTTCCTCTTTTTCTCCACTTGCATCTGAGGAAGTGAGTTTCTCCCACAAAAAGCTCATGATAATATATGTATTTGTTAGTCTCTAAGGTGCTACA